CCAGCCCCTCCCCACCCAGCCCCTCCCCACCCTCCCCTCCCCAACCAGCCCCTCCCTCTCCACCCAGCCCCACCCCTCCCATTTTTGGATGAACGACGGACGGACACAGTCATCCCCTGTGGGCTGGTGTAACCAGGAGGTTCCTACCAATAATATTTCGTCCATAGTTCAGTGTTATATGCAGTACTGTACATTCAGGCTGAGTATGGTGATTACATGAAGTGACCTACAATAATGCTCAAATTAACAGAGCATTTAATTCCAAATCAAGATCGAAACAATACTGCCGAAAGTGATCAAAACAATTAAAATACCATACATCTCTGGAGTTACTGACAAATTAGCCCGTGTTTTGCAAAAGCAAAACATTAAAGTGAGATTTGCTACGGTACACAAATTCAAAAACGAGTGTCTTGTACTAAAGATGAATTACAGAAGTTAACAACAGAAGGTGTATATCGGATCAATTGCTTATGTCAGCGGTCCCCAACCTTTTTGGCACCAGAGACCGATTTCGTGGAAGACAATCTTTTCACGGACCGGGGTGGGGGGGTTATCATTGGGTCTTTCCCCCTTTTCAAAGAAGCTCTCCAGCGATGTTTGTTTTTTACTCATTTTGGCTACTAGGGGTCAGCTTGTGGGCTTACCAAAACTGTGACTGAGACAAGTGCGCAGTGAGGGAAAGAGGCGTGGATGTAAGTGGTAAATAAAATAATGGGCGGGCCACGCACGGACTCACCACTCACCTCCTGCTGTGCGGCCCGGTTCCTAACAGGCCACGGACCGGTACCGGTCCGCGCCGGGGGGTTGGGGACCCTTGGCTTATGTGGTAAGTATTATATTAGACAGGCGGGACGTAACATTAGCGTAAGACTAAAAAGAACACCAAAGGAACATTAAATTCTCCCAAACACAGCTGTCAGCAGTGGCAGAGCATGCTTGCCAACAAGGACATTTGATTGATTTTGATAACGTTGAAGTGTTATGCAGAACTAATTATTGCTGACCAAGATTAGTTAGAGATCAATTTAAATTTAGAAGAATTCAAATAATTTAAATCGCTGTGATAGCTATAGACTCATTCCAGCCTGGAAGCATATTATTAAGTTACTAGTGGGAAGTACCCGGCGTTGCCCGAGGGAAAAATATATTTCAAAACTTGTCTTAAAAACAGGTGTTAAGATGTTAAAACACCAAACTGAAATATTTTACAAGGAATCACGTCAGCATTAACCACAATGCTTGTGGTCAGAATGCAAACAAAAAACATACTCTGATAATATATGCATTGTCCTTGAAACTGATTAGTCCACACCTGAGACAGCTTTCTTTTGAGCCTAGTCTCAAAACGGTGTTAGACCAGAGGACGCCAAAAGGCGTACAGCCCAAGACAATGCACTATCAGAGTAATGAGAGCTCGGGGTGAGCATCTACATCATGGGATCTCTTAACACCTGTTTTGTTGCCAGAAAAAAGGGGAAAAACCTATTATCATATTTTGGTAGTGGCAAAGGAGAATTTTTCTCAGTCTTGTGTGTATTTATTTTGCATTTTAAATGCAAATACGATTTTTTCCCGATTGAGTGTGCATTGCTAGGGGCAACCTTCGGTCAGCGTGCGAGTTTCGTCCACACACAGACACACAGACAGACACACAGACAGACAGACAAAAAATGACGTTTATAGGTAAGACTAGCGGGAAGTAATCGACTTTTCCCCGCCGAAAAATATATTTAAAAACTTATCTTAAAAACATTACATATACATACACAGATACTAAGCTATTGTGAAAGCCTGATGGGCCGTTTGTCCATTTCTCCACCAACAAAATGATGAGAGGCTTGCAGAAGTCTAAAAAGTTATAGAAAGTGGGGGGTAAATAGTTGATATGAAAGGTTTCCGAAAATTGTCGACCTCCCCCCCTAAAAAAATATTTTTACCCCCCGCGTAGGTATATATGCACCTACACACCCTACATACAATAGAGTAAGTAGTATCTACCGACTCGATAGCAGTAACTACTAACTCTATAGTAGTATCTGCTGACTCTATACTAGTATCCACTGACTACAGTAGTAACTACTAACTCTATAGCAGTATCTACTGACTCCATTTTAGTATCTACTGACTATAGCAGTAGCTACTGACTGTAGTAATATCTACTGACTGTATAGTAATAGTATCTACCAACTCCATAGTATTATCTACTAACACTACAGGAGTGCATACCGACTGTGGTGGAACCTGCTATCACTACAGCAGTGCATACCGACTGTGGTGGTACCTGCTATGACTCCAGCAGTGCATACCGACTTTGGTGAACCTGCTTTCACTACAGCAGTGCATACTAACTGTGGTTCTACCTGCTATCACTAGAACAGTACATATCGACTGTGGTGGTACCTGCTATCACTACAGCAGTGCATACCAACTGTGGTGGTACCTCCTGTCACTGCAGCTGTTCAAACCGACAGTGGTAGAACCTGTTATCACTGCAGCAGTGTATCCTGACTTTGGTGGTACCTGCTTTAACTATAGCAGTGCATACCCACTGTGGTGTTCTTGCTATCACTACTGCAGTGCATACCGACTTTGTTGGTTCCTGCTTTCAACACAGCAGTGCATACTGACTGTGGTAGTACCTGCTATCACTACAGCTGTGCGTACTGACTGTGGGGATACCTGCTATCAGGGCAGCAGTGCATACTGAGTGCGGTGGTACCTGCTTTAACTACAGCAGTGCATACCCACTGTGGTGGTTCCTGCTATCACTACAGCAGTGCATACCGACTTTGGTGGTACCTGCTTTCACTACAGCAGGACATACCGACTGTGGTGGTACCTACTATGACTCCAGCAGTGCATACCGACTTTGGTGAACCTTCTTTCACTACAGTAGTGCATACTGACTATGGTGGAATTTGATATCACTGCAGCAGTGCATACTGACTGGTGGAACTTGCTATCACTGCAGCAGTGCATAATAACTGTGGTGGATACCTGCTATCACTACAGCAGTGCATACTGACTTTGGTGGTGCCTTATATGACTACAGCAGTGCATACCGACTTTTGTGGAACCTGCTTTCACGACAGCAGTACATGCTGACTGCGGTGGCACCTGGTATCACTACAGCAGTGCATACTGAATGTGGTGGTGCCTCCTTTAACTACAGCAGTGCATACAGAGTGTGGTGGATGCAGCTATCACGACATCACTGCCTAATAACTGGTGGTACCTGCTATCACTGCAGCAGCGCATACTGACTGTGGTGGTACCTGCTATGACTACAGCAGTGCATACCGACTTTGGTGGAACCAGCTTTCAAAACAGCAGTGCATAATGACTGTGGTGGCACCTGCTTTAATTACAGCATTGCATACCGACTGTAGTGGTTCCTGCTATCACTTCAGCAGTGCATACTGACTGTGGTTGTACCTGCTATCACAGTAGTACATGCTGACTATAGCAATATATATCGACTCTATAGCACATCTACTAACTTGACAGAGTGCTATCGTGAGGCCTATTCCCGTGCAGAGCCCCCGGCCTCGTCTAGATTGCCCAGCCGGCCGAGGTGGCACCTTGGCAGGCTGGGGGCTGGGCCGCTACCCCCGCCCCCCCACTATCCCCCTTCCAGCTCTATAATAATAGTATCTAAGTGCTATTAAATAAGTATCTACCAACCCTATACTAGTACGTGCACCCTATAGTTAGAAGTGGATGGCTTCACTATTCTGGCAAATCGCTCGAAGATGCTGGATGTAATTTCCAGCAAAACGTTGTACACACCGGTGGGCTAATGTAGTGAATTATTTGTCTTTTGTCAATGTGACTCATTTTTTTACTGATTGGCTGTGCCGGGTGGTGGAGGGTTGAGACACATTCATAAATAACGCGATCTAACCCATAAACCTTTATTACGAATAATACTTTTTGACTCCCCCATTGTCTACTCCTACATTAGCACTGGCTGACTCGCTCCTCCTCCCAACTCTCGTCCCCCGCCCACTCACTTTGTAAACCCTTATAAGCAGTTGCATTTGGAGGCTTGCCCTCTCTTTCTGTCCGCCTGATGCAGACTGCTTGTGTTGCGATCGAAACATTGTGGGTTTTTTTGCCTTTATTATTTTCAATTTATTATTTTTATTTGCATTTTTTATTTAATTAATTTTTATTTCATTCTTTTTATTTTCTATCTACGTGACTTTACCGAAAGAACCAAAAATATGAATAATACTGGTCGCGAAAGCCTACGTTTTAAACTAAAGTGACCTTATTTAACACATCAGCTTATTCTCTTGTCTAGCTTATCAGTGCTAATGTAGGTGCCTGGTCCATCCAGGACCTATTGTTGAGATTCATGTTATCTAAGACAATGTTACGATGCTGCAGTGTTCATTCATTTGATTGATATTGCAAGTATTAATGGATGCTGTATTTTGTGTTCTGTTTTTCCATCAGTTTTACCTCGTTGAAAGTCATTGAAACTTATTGATGCTCATCGAAACTCATTTATGTTCATTAATGCTCATTTATTAAATACGTTAGAGTCAGATGTTCACCATTGCTCTGACGATTTATTGAATGCGAGGTTAACTACTCGGATAGTGGTGCAACGCGCATACAGGGAGGCCGAGACACAGACCTACACACATAAATACAACTATCTCAAATATCCATATGGACAAGTACTATTAGCAACTACCTATTAAGGCTGACATGGCACACAAAGGGGTTGTGTGGCCAGCGATACGTCTGGCCACCTATGTCTCCCTCGTCCTGATGTTTATACACTGAATCAGGTATACACATTTGTTTATGGCTGAGTTGACCTAGAGGAAACCCTGCGACCTAGGGGATGCCCAGGACTGGTTCAGATGATCGTCACTGGTGTTGACCGTAAGCGGCATCGAACTCGGGTCACCGGGTTCGTAGCGCAGTGCGCTGACCATTGCACTACTGCTCCCCTCCACGCACGTGCACACACGATTCCACAGGTGCAGGCGGCTGGACCCCTGCACACAACGACCAGACACCCTGGCTACAGCTGGAGCTGTCTGGCCGAGCGGAGGTCACGGCGCTCGCCACTCAAGGCCTCTATGGCAGCTCGGACTGGGCGTCCAGCTACCTACTGCTCTATGGAGACTCGGCGAGGAACTGGAGGCAGTACCAGGAGGACGGAAACGCTTGGGTTTGTGCACAGTCCACAACCACTTTGTTTGGCCACATTTAACAAATGATCTAGTGACATCGCGTCGACAGTGGTGCACAACCACAAATGACATAAAACTCAACATTCGTCAATAAGATTGTGGCTTAAAAGGACATAAACATGTCAAATATGACGTATTGGGCAATGACCCTTCTTCCTGTGCTATGAAAAAGGGCCATTTCCTAAAACGTCGCCTGTTATTTTGATACATGTGTTGTTGCTTTTTGGTTTGACGTGAAGGATAACTATTGGCATGAAAGCTAACATGTGAATTAATTTTTCCACGATGACAAGACACGACATCTGCCGTGGAGATGCAGCGATGAAGTCAACTGATGTATGTGCAAGTGCTCGGCGGATTGTTGTATTGCAGGATAGTGGAGGATGGCGATGGTTTGGGGAGGCCTCCATCCAACAGTGAATTGATCATGGCTGTTAATGATGATTTTTATGAAGAAATGTAAGAAGTTATACACGGGTTTAAAGTAAAATTTGTAGATGGCCTTCATAACCAATTAAGAGCTGGTTGAGATGAGTGTCTTTTGAAAATATACAAGGAAAATATATTTTTAAAAATACAAAGTACGAAGTTTACATTATGAGACCTCCTTTGCCAATAACAAGATTTAGTAATAGGTTTTACCCTTTTAACTGGCACAAAAAACTGACACCTTTATTCAAGGCATCATGTCTGCAATAACCGCAACACAAGCAGTGAAAATGCAAACAAAAAGACAACTCTGATAATAATATGATGATGCCTTGAATAAAGGTGTCAGTTTTTTGTGCCAGTTAAAAGGGTAAAACCTATTACTATATCTTTTTACTGGCAAAGGAGGTCTCATAATGTAAATGCTCACCCCGAGCCCTCAATACTCTGATAGTGTGCTGTTTTTGAGCTGTACGCCTTTTGGCGTCTTCTGGTCCAACACCAGTGGAGACTAGGCTCTAAAGAAAGCCGTCTCGGGTGTGGACCATTCAAATTCAAGGACAGTGCATATTATTATCAGAGTTGTCTTTTTGTTTGCATTTTGACTGCTTGTGTTGTGGTTATTGCAGACATGATGCCTTGAATAAAGGTGTCAGTTTTTTTGTGCCAGTTAAAAGGGTAAAACCTATTACTAAAGTACGAAGTTACAGAAAAAATAATTTAACCAGAAATATTAGTGCGTCAAAATAATTCAATGTTACCATTCTTATCTTATATACTCTATGAATGTCAACTGTGTAAACACAAATATAACTGCTACACATTGCAATAACAGTCCTTAAGTGTTAAAAACCCCTCATATAGACACGGATTTGTTTTTCTTGATATAGCTGCTGACACTGTTCGCAGATGTGAGATGTATTGCTTATCATTGGAAAACATTTGTTAAAGCTTAAAGTGATTAGTATACAACACAATGCGAGCGTCACATTGTGGTGCAGAATTATTTTAAAGGCTTTCATATCTAGTACATATGCGGCAAATCCCAGATGTGTATGGTGTTTAAACGATGAGCCAGAAATTAGTTAGCCTTCAAGGACTCATTTGGTATCAGGGAAGACATATTTGGTATGAAGAATGATGTCCAGAAATCGCTTGCTTCGTATCTCGATATAATTACATGAGATACATTAACCAATAATAAACTGATTTTAATGACATCAGCTGGTCAACCGAAGTTCATCGCAGCCCTGTGGATTTGTAATAAATTTGAATGAAACCCAATTAGATGCTTTTCATACATAATCAGAGAAAGTCTAGCTCAATTTACCTTGTATTGGGAGCCAGCAGTCATTCGATATGTCACTTTCACAGTTTGTAAAGTTTCACTTTGCCTTATTATGAGGCCTGACTGAGTGATTATAGACTTTCGATTTAAAGCTTTCGTGACTGCAGGGATTCATCTTCTTGGTTCTTTCGGTAAAGTCACGTAGAAGGGAAAATAATAAAATAATAAAAATTAAACATAATAAAATAACATTCTCATGACGTTTCGGCCACAACACAAGTAGCCTTCCTCAGGTGAAGAAACAGAGCTGTCGGAAAGACGGCGCTCCAATGAACACTGCTAAGCTTGGCAGCGTATTTTAAGCTGGGTGGGAGGAACAGAGCGCCTTGACAAAGGAGTTTACATATCAACAGAAGAATTTAGCATTATAGTAGCTGTGTTAATGTGAGAGATTAGCAGGATGTTAAAGTCAGAAATTAGCATGTAACTGGGAGATTAGCATGATGTTAGTGTGAGGGATTAGCATGTAACTGGTCACGGAAGTAGCTATGTTAAAGTCAGAGTTTACATATCAACAGAGGCATTTAGTATATTGACGCTAAATAACTGCAACTACCCAACTATCATACAATAAACAGATGTGAAAGAACTAAATAGAAACTACATCAATATAGTCAATGTAATCAATATATTATCCAATAAGTTGAGCTATTAACATAAAGTAACTGGGTATACAGTACACTATATAATGAATACCATATAGTAAACTGATAAAAAACTAAAATATAAACTATATCAATATTATCAATAAACTCAATATACTCTCCAATCAGCTGAGCTACTAACAATAAGTCATACATTATAATTCTATGTTGAAAAAAGTGGTGGTTTATTTTGTATTTTTTCCTCAACGTTAGCACCACGGAAAGCGACGAGCTTTGTTCAGACGGACGAGTCCATCTATGCTCGGAACAGAGGAGGAGGGAGAGAGAGAGAGAGAAACAGCCACGATGCGCTGCTCTGTCCTGTGTTGCGTTACAACTATGCTATAAACTACTACTATACATTACAATATTATATCTTCCAACCTAAACTACATTGTATGATATCGTATACACAGCCCAATGTAAGCTCTAACATTATGCATTATATTGATATGCCTCCAACTAAACTTTTTTCTACATTACACGGCTATACACCGTAATATACACCGCCATAGACAAACCCCACCATTGAATTATACAATGCGTTACTATACACTACCCTATACTTTAGACTATAAAAATATTAGACTTGTAATATTACACTATGTATTATTCTACCAACCCTACTGTATACCACACTGCTGTATATTCACTATACAATTAGGATACTATATATTGCCTTATGAATTATGTTAAACATTACACTGTTATACTATTTATTATTATACAATATGCTATAAACCATACTATTGACCGTCGTGTGAAAGGTACTAAGAGGCAGTGCCAGCGAATGGACTGCGGTCTGAAAGTCACTGTAAAATACAATCAATCAAGAACCGAAATGGTGTATCACGTCTTTCCAATGATTACTAAGCCATAATCCATCTTCTCGTTCAAATTGTCTCTGTGTTTGTATATGTGGATGGCCTCATGAACGAATCTCTCATGGTAGCCGGATGGCTTGCAGAGAACCTCCGTTTTGGAGAAGTCAATGTCATGTGAGCCCACTGAATTATAACAGTGATCTGCCACGGCTGAGGTGTTCGTCCTACCGTGTTTCAAGTCTGCTTTATGTTCACGTCGTTTGGTTTCTCCAATGTAACTGCTACCACAGAGGCAACTTAGATTGTAGATGCCCGGGTAGTGTATGTCTGGAACCACATCTTTTACAGACGGGACCATATCACGAATTTTATGTACTGTGTTGAATCGGACCTGGATCTTGAGTTTATTGATAATATTGATATAGTTTATATTTTAGTTTTTTATCAGTTTACTATATGGTATTCATTATATAGTGTACTGTACACCCAGTTACTTTATGTTAATAGTTCAGCTTATTGGAGAATATATTGAGTACATTGATTATATTGATGCAGTTTATATTTAGTTCTTTCACATCGGCTCTAACGAGAGCCTCGGTTGAGCGTCCCCCAGGTGCTGTCCCAGTTTTCAGATCTTCAGATGTCTTCAAGCTTGAGTTGGTGAGTACTGCCTCGATCGTCCCGAGGGCTGCCCTTTTATCCCCAGGTCAGGGTCACCCCTCCCTTCATGCCCCCCCCCCTAGAACTTTCTGAAAAGTCTTATCTTAAGGGGGAAGTGGTGGGGGGGGGGTCCCCCTCCCCCTCAGTCCCCATCTCTGGGGGCTCTGGGGTGTCAACCTCCGGTCACGGGGGGGGGGGGGGGGGAAGGCTCTTATCTATAGGGGTCTTAGGAAGTGGTGGGGGGGGTCCCCCTCCCCCTCAGCCCCCACTCCTGTTGGCCCGTGAGCGTGGTGGGTCAGCTGCCCACAGCTCCTTGTTACGGCGCAATATCTAGATGAAATGCAAAACTCATTCTCTATTTTATGAACACATTGTCTGCCTTAAAAGGTTTTTCAAAGTGGTTGCTTATTATGTTGCTTTATTTACGCTCTAACATTTTAAGCATCTTGGCTATGCAGTATCAGGTTTATTATTTTATCACTGAGGAAATTGTGTTACATGACCATTGTTTAATTCCAATTACCTTTCAATTAATTATAAATTAAACAAACTATTGTCAATTCGTATTTTAAATTGTGTTCTGATTGAATGGTTTTAATAAGAAGGCTTATTATAATGTCAACGTTTATTCATAACACACCATATTAAAGTTTACTCTAAATTAATAAACGGTTGTGCCTCAACTTCTTCATTTTCATACGTGTTTTTTTAAATGTACTTAAGCTTGCAGGTATTTGTTCATTTAAGGCTAGCTGATGTCATTAAAGTCAGAGATTACACTATGTAACAGATTTGTTTTGTTCCTGGGTAGTAAGTGTTATTTACAAATTGCTCATGCCTCAAAAGTACAGAAAATGCCTATTATTCCCCACAAACTTTGCTTTTGTGATCAGGACAGTGATATTTTGAAATTTACTTATTTTCCAGAACATTCCAGATAGATTCAGTGCTGAGTAAACTTGGAGTAACTTCTAGGACATTCCTGAACTTTCCAGTCATATAAATAGTAGTATAATATAAATAGTAGCATTAATACAGGGGCCTTAAGCCCATCAGTTAAGTTTAGTTCCAGC